CCCCAAAACCCCAAAACCCCAAAACCCCAAAACCCCATTTCCATGCTTAATAATTGAAGCTTAGTTGATTTATTTATAGATGGTCGTAGATCTTGAAGCAGGACATAATAACGTAGATAATCCATAGCATGAATCATAAACCTGCAGTAAAGTATTTTGGGAATGCTTTTTGTCCTCCAAGCTCTCCACCAACAAAAATTCTCCGCAATACTATTATGACTAATGTTGAGATGGAGGTTATCAAAAATAACATAACCGAAAACGATAACCCATCTGTGTTCACTCTATAATCTGTGTCATCTGCAAGAGAGTAGATAGCACCAATGAGCCACGGTAAACCTAGCCCTAAGAAAACATTAACACTGTTAGAGCCTGTGACGTTCCCAATTGCGCTATCAGCATGCTCACTCTGCTGAGCTGCTTGTTTACTAGCAAATGTGTCTGGAAGAGATGTACCTAATGCAACGAATGTAATTGCTGTTGCAGCTGGCTTCAGTCCCAACACACATCCAAATAAGGTTGCCATTTCTCCAACAATGGCTGTAACAAGTCCTATAAATGCTAGGGATACAACGAATGCTAGCCATCCCTTCCATATTCTTGGAGGAGGTATCAGTGCGAAGAAAACTTTCCATCCGATTGTTCAGAAATGTAGGAAAGCTTCAAATCCAGAAACTTCGATCATATTATTATTCTCATCCAACTGGGGAGAAAGCATGCATGCCCTCTTAAATTGTTTGGCCCAGGTTATTTGTTCGTCCTTCTGCATGTTCTTGATGATTTCTTCTATACCTTTCGCCTTCTGGACGAGTTGAGTATCCCCAACTATTTCAACAAAACATTCACTTTTCTTTCCTAATTTCGGTTTCTCAATATTTTCTGCCTGATGCTTTTGATCATCTTTATATCGGATATCTGAAAGCTGAACTGAAAAGGCCACTTCCTGCCCTTCCTCAATTTCGTCTTCTTTTGGGAGTATTGGCACTTCTACAATTTTCATGGTCTCCCCAGTTTCGTAATAGAGTGTTCCCTCAACAGGCATATAATCTTTAGTAGCAATAGCTGGGTTCGACAAAAAATCTGGAGCGATTGTCCTATAATTCAATTGGACATCATCATCGCACCCATCAAGCCTAAGCACTTTTAGTCTAATTTTCTCATCTTTTGGAGTAACTTTGGTAGCTCTCATCTCAAATCCAAAGATTCCTGGCTTATCATCGTCGAGAATTGTAACAGTTGTCCTAGTATCTTGTCCTGGTAATCTTTCCTTGGTCTCAAGATCATAGAGTTCGATATAGAAGTCTTCATCGGGCTCGATTCCTTCGTCGTCGATAATCTTGACTCTAACGGCTGTTTCCATCTCTCCTTCGTCAATTTCTTTTTCAATATCAATGGCTTCGTAATCACCAGCTTCTTCGTCATCCCCTGCATTAGCAGTGCCATCAACGGTTCTGACTCCAAACCTGACTGCTTCTTCCATATTTTTATTTTAATATCTTGACATTGAGATAGCCAACGCTCTCAGTGACGGAATAATGTAGACATTTGAAACCGACTTTTTCGTTGAGTTCTGCTTTATCGAACTCATCTTTAGCTGTCTTGAGTTCTTCAATATTTTTCTCACCCTTTACAACTGCAACTTTTTGACGTCCTGAGATCATGCTGCCGATGTTCTTTCTATACTTGAGCCTTTCAGCGACTACTGACTGAGGCTTAAGTAATTTTTCAACTTCCTTAGGGTCAATATCTTCTATTTTATCTTTGTTAAATGTCTTTTTCAGATATTCTTGTAGTTTTGCATGTTGATGATTTTCCTCCTCAACAGAATCATTATTGCCAGATTCGACATTAATGATATGGTAAAAATCTTTTATGTCAAATTGTGCTAATTTACTCCTCTTCTTTTTGTCACAGCCTTGCCTGATCTTGTCAGCAATGAAGGCAGAGACTACGAGGATCCAGAAAAAGGAAAATGTAATAATAGCCTCTTCTAAGGAGATTATTCCCTTTGTCCAAACTTCAAGACAAATGTAGAGCCATATGTATGCAAAGATTGAAGATGTAGCTGTGATGGCAAAAACTCCCAAATCATTGATCTTATTTAGTCTGACCTGTAGGTATACATGCGATAGATACAGCAGAAATCACCATCAGATTGAATGCTGCTGATCCAACAATAGTGGCAGGACCAAGCTCTCCCGGTTCCTTCCCCAAATTTGAAACTGTTTCGATAACTGAAAGCAATATTTCTGGAGCTGATGATCCTAGAGCCATTAGCGTTAGGTTAGCAATCGTAGGATTCCAAACAGATACACTCATTGTCTGCTCTATCCCATCAATATCTGTGTACTTAACTTTCTTTGTTTGAGAAGTAATGACTTCTATTGAGTCCATGAAAATGTCTGATATAATAGCTATTCCCAAAAACAGATAAATCAATGCTCAGAAATATGCAATGACAAGTAGCCAAGTAGGCAATAGAGATGTACCAGGTATAATTGCCCATGAATGACAGAAATCAGATTCATTAGTATACTCGACATATTGTCCTCTTGATCTTGTCTTTATAGACTGTTTATCATAACCTTTGCCCTTAAATGTATAATTTGGGGCAGCATCTGCAGTTAGATAAATTGATCCTAAAACCACTGCTGCTAGGAAAACCGATGTATAGAACCTCCGAGTGAGGTTTGTTCTCACATATCTCCTCCGGGAGTTTAACAATTTAAACTTCTTCATATTTAATTATAACTATATTAATTTTATTTTTCTTTATTTCAAAACTCTTTCTTTAGTAAGGGGTTTTGGGGTTTTGGGGTTTTGGGGTTTTGGGG